CATTTACAACTACAATGTACTAAGTGTGTGATGGGATAATAAAGCCCCCCCCCCCCTCTTTTAATAAAAAAAATTCGAACAAAATATTATATGAAAGTTTTTTTTTTATCTTTATACAAAATAGAATTGCAACCTTATACCTTCCTCAACCTCATCTATTTACCACAGATGATTTCATGATGTCTGTGTTCCATCACTTTATATCAAATTTGTATAAGCCATACGAAAACCAATTGAGAACACAATGTTAATAAAAATGTTTTGTTTTTAATTTCAAAGAAAAATAAAATAAATTAAAAAAAAAAGATCAAATAAGATCAAATAATGTCTTATTTTGTCTATTCAGAAAATATTTAGCATTAGTAAGTCTTTAAAATTTTAACAAAAAAAGGCAATTGAGCTCTGTATGCTTGTTTCAGTTTATTATATGTTTAGATCATTGATCTAAACATATGGGATGTAACACAAATAAAATTAAATATTTCCATTTTTCTATATAACTAAATTTAAACTTTATTATAATATTTCATAACCTTTAATATTTCAATTTCTTTAAGTGAACATGTTTTAAATGAACAAACAACCAAGAAGTTTGGCTTTGAAACTCTGCAAATTTCAGAAATTTTTCTTGTATCATGTTTATATACTGAATTGTTATGGTTTTTTTGAGATCGTCTAGTGTTTCTGCAAGAAACTTTTGATTTGCAATAGCCAATGTTTCAATATATATACATATATATTTATATATATATATATATATATATATATATATATATATATATATATATATATATTTTTTAATGTCTAAATAAAAATATTTATACAATTCTTATTTTTATTTATTTATGTATATTTATGTCAACCAAAATAAGAATACATTAACAAATAAAAAAACAATAATATAAATAATTTTAATTAAGCATTAAAAAAAAAAGATTTTTTTTCTAAATTCTCCTCATATAAAAAATTTCAGTTACAATTTTGTCAACAAAATAAGAATTACATAATGACATGATTCATTTTGTTAAAGTGCCAGAACTTTAGTAAATGCATGCAGTTTTAACTTACGTTACATATATTGAAAATAAAAATGTGCTTTAACAAAGCATCGTTATTCAAAACTTTAAATGTAAAAATGTAACATTTAATATTTTTTTGCATATATTATTAAAAAACTTTAGTTTTTTAACTAAATCTTAGAAATAACAAAACTTTATTATGATTTTGTTATCTTACGTTACATAAAAGTTGCAAAAGTTCTTTCGCTATTTTCTTGAAATATATATATTTTATAAAGTATAAAATCTGACCAACAACAATATGAACATGTTTCACGCTAATTTAATTCCGATTATGCAATGAATTCACGTTTAAAATAAAATTTTACAATAATACTTTTCATATCACGTGACATTAAAGAAAAAAATGTAATTTTTGGAAGCATAAAAATGAGTTAAATAAATTAGTTTTATTACTATATTTTAAATAAACGTTACATCAATATTCATTTGCTAAAATTTGACAAAAAAGAGAATAAAATTTGACTACCATTTTCTGCCATGGAATTGCTCATATATATATATATACATATATATATACATATATGAGCAATTCCACAACTGTCACAGCGTGACAATCGTCTTTTTTTTTTGTCTTAAGCCTTCATTATTTTAATATTAAAATAGGTATAAAAATTTATTTTTTTGTCTTTTATTTAATTAGCTCATAATAGGTGCTACAAAAAACAAGAAAAAAAATTTGGGTGGATATATAAGCCTCTCATTCATACAAAAAAAAAAAAAATGTCACAGCGTGACGGAAATTTTCTCATTGTTTTTTAGTTTTTAGATCAACACCGCAATTTAGCTAATATGGATAAACTGAATTATTATCTTGGCATTAAACAAAAAGTTTAGGCATTAATCTTACAAGTTTTATAGCTAAATAATATTTTTTAAATTAAATTTTGAACAGGCACATCTTTAATTAACTAGTGGTAAATGTCACAGCGTGACCAGACACATTTGGGTAGTTATAAACCAGGTAAATGAGCTGTTTTTAATAAATTTAAAACTTAGTAGAGAGGTATTTGACAAATATATAATTACATCTTCATAAAAATAGTTTTTACATATAATAATTTTCAGAACACACTCATACTACTTTAGTGTCAAATCGCGTCCATATTATATTGCTGTTATATATACAACGTTTTGAAGTTTTTCGGTGATTTTATTTGAAGACGTAAGTTGTTTCACTAAATACATGGCACTTGAATAGGGTCGCATTTCATTTTTTTTTCTCATTGTTGTTTTGAATTAGATGCGCTGCAAATATTCCTAGTTTTGCTGGTGCTTTTGTAAATAACTCATCAATTTTAAATTTTTTTACTGTATTTATAACATCTTCCATAGAAACAAAATAGACATCGAAATTTTTTTAACAGCTTCATGAAAAGTTATGGCATCAGTTATAATAAATTTTCTCTAAATTATTTTTTGCGTTGCTATTGTTTTAACGGTCCCACCAATAACATCTACTGGCTTAATTACCGGTCCTTTCCCATGTGAAGCAGCAAAAAAGTTCCAGGATAATTTTAAATCATTCTGTTCTTCCAACCAGAGTATTGCTGATGCAATAAAACGATTTTTGATTTGATTACTTGGCCCATCTGTACAAACCTGTAGTATTTTAACACTTGATTTAATATGGTTAGATAACAAAGTATGAACAAATACAAGAATAGATTCTTTTGAGTAACTTAAATTATCTGAAACTATGACAGCTGATGAGCATGAATTTTGGTACCAAAATACAGCAGTAAACACAGTAACTTGACTCTTGTGCCAATGTGCTGACTGCACTTCATCTTGCCACAAAGTTGAAAAATTTTCAGCAAAATCTACTTGAAGAACAGCTGTGTCTGGATTACTTTGAAGTTAGATCTTATGATCACGATATGTCTTTGATTGTTTCTGTTTAATAAAATAATGCCAAAAAAATGAAGGTAAAGACTTTGAAAAGGTGCTGTAAAGATCATCAACTCTTCCCTTTTTTTTCAGTTTTTTTAATATATTATTTTCTATTACATTCTGCAACTTTTTCCCATTGATACCATGTAATGCATTTATTCTTGTCAATTTCATTCAAAACATTTAGATTATGAAACTTTGCAGCATCTTTGCATGTTGTACACATATTGTTAAAACAAATTTCTTTTTCACTATCACATACAATGCTAAGAGGAAATTCATGTGAATACAATGAAAAATTTGAATCAAACTTGTGCAGGGCTTCAAGGATAAGGATTATATTTTGATGTCGTTGACAACAACAAACGTTTCTTAACACTGAACTAGACAAAAGCACATGTGATGGGCGTAAACTAGCAAACTTTGATTTTCCAAATGATTCTTCAGGATAATCACTTTTAAAAATAGCATAAGCTTCATTAACATTCATATACAAATGACATTTTTGCATAGTTTCTTTCTTGTTCTTTAATCTCACCACAATGGTGTCTCTTTTACCGGGTGCTTGACGGGATATATCATCACTTTTACCAGCGTGATGATATATCCCGTCAAGCAGAAAGAGTTCTGGGTGATTTTGGTAGTGCTGACTCGGCTCTCTTAACAGCTTTTCCAAGAGTGCTCACAGATTTATATGGGGGTGATGTAACAACTACAGATTTTGATTCTGCTATTTTTTGCCTGCTCTTTCTCTTTCGTAGCCTTTCTTTTTCTCCTTGATCCTCCAATTTAGCAAGTCTTTTTTCTTTTCTCCTTTTTGATTTTTTTTTCTTTAACTACTTTATTGCTAAACTTTTTTAATTGCCTTTCTCAATAATTCTTTTGACGTTCAGCATGAGTAAGAGGCATGTTAAACCCTTGAAAAATTAAAAACAATTAAGAGCAACACAGTAGTTATGGAGATGCACGTATTACATCTAAGGCTCAATGGAGTTACAACTATCCCTTAGAGAGGCTCTATGAATACCAAAAGAGAGCCTCAAGGATAGCTGAGCATTCATCCTCCAAGTGTTGCCTATGCAAAACATACCTATATTTTGTAGCTTTCGTAGAAAACGTAAAGGAAAGTATGTTGCACAATAATTTGGCTCATTGAAGTTTATAAAAACTCAATTGTGGTTTCAGTTAAGCAGATTTAAATATTGTTTTAAATTTTGCCACGCTGTGACATCATGGCGTGACATAAAAAGATTTTAAAAATAACATAAGGTAATTTTTTTTAAACATGTTAGAATTTTTTTAGATGTACTAGATAGAGTTCTCATTGCACTGCAATTTTGAAATGCTAAGTTTTACTGGTTTTCCTAGAAATAAAACTATTGGTGCCCTAATTGTCACAGCGTGACATGTCACAGCGTGACAATAGTGGTAATAACATTTGATTAAATTAAATGGTTTTCTGAATTTGTCTAGCAAAAGACATGTTTTTATCATAAGTAGCAATGATTAGTGCAGCTATAAATCTGATTGCGATAAGCAAGACTGTTTTTGAATTTTTTATAGGTTCAATTGAACTTTGGCGGTTAAAAATAAATTAAATTATCGCAAAAACGCCTATTTTTACGATCTGTTTCAGCCCATATTATTTTTTATAACAGCGGCATACTCTAACAAACTATATATTTTCTGAAAAAGGAGACATAGCTTTCTACTGATATATAGCATTATGTATATTGGATTGTTTTAATTTTTTCATTTATTGTGAGACGGTCGTGGAATTACTCATATATATATATATATATATATATATATATATATATATATATATATATATATATATATATATATATATATATATATATATATATATATATATTTATACACATATAAATACATATAAATACATATATATATACATATATATACATATATATTTATATATATATACATATATATATATTTATATATATATACACACACATATATATATGTCCAAATATAAACAAAAAAGATTTAAAAAAAAAAGACCTGATTAGAAGATGAAAATGCAGACCAGCTTGAGAGAATAACAACAAAAACCAAAAATTGTGTACAAAATATCCATGAATATACATCAACTCCACCAGCACCAATTTCAGGATCAAGCATACGAAGGACAAACTGTTTGACACTTTTTACTAAACTATGATAGAATAGTTAGAGATAATTAACAATTATAAAATGAATTAGCTAACTTACAAGACCAACTTTATTAACTTTACCAAGAATTGCAGATGCTGTTCTTTTTATATTATTATGCATTATTTTTTTAATTACATTTTATTTAAGTATGTATGTACACACATACATTAATGAGCACACACTGTGCATTAGGCCCAATTATGATTTCTCTTATTAAAAAATTAAATATTTATATAAATACAAATATGAATTTCATTAAATAAATTCACCTACTCAAGGCTCCAAATACACAACACTACACTAAAAAAAGCTACTCTTTTTTTTTTAAATATATATAATTTTATTTTTATTACGTATTACAAACATAAAAGCTTTTGCAAACACACTGTTTACTAACAAAATTCGGGGAGTATTATTATGTGTGATAACTTATAAAATGTCTTGCAGTTATCATAATTGGCAAGCTAACTTGGTGAGCTAACACTAACAATCGCATTAACAGTATTGTAAATCTGATAGACTATCGCTGAGTAAAATAAATCACTGAGTAAAATACAGAAAAAACACTGAGTGATACAGTATCTGAGGGATACAGTAAGATCACTGAGTAAAATACAGTAAAAAATGCATACTTAAAAAAATCATTAATTCTATAATAATTTGTTTAGGTATGTTTATTTTCATAATGTCAATAATCCTAAAAGTCTGTATGGCTGTAAAAGGCTGTAAAGGTGCTGTAAAATATAATGATAGGACAAAAACTCAAATTTAAAAAAAGAGCTAGAGCAAGTATGTGCAAGTGCAACATTGCAACAAGAGTAAGTGTGAACAATGTTACATTTACTTATTTGACCTAGTCTAAAAGAGACATTATTAAAAACCAGCCTGATTATGACAACAGTACTTCATACGAAAACAGATAGATTTATACTGGAAATGAAGAAGAACGTTGTCTATTCAAGTCAACTAAATTTAAAAATAAAGTCAAGTATTAAAGTTATCCAAGGACATATTTAATTCTTTGTAAGAAAAAAATTATTTAATAATTTTCCACATATACCATTTGAGGAGAGCTTATATAAAAAACCAGAAAAAGGAATGTTGACTGGACCTGTAGAAAAGTTGAAGTGAGAAACAACTTAAAAATAAAATAAAAAAATAAAATACAATGAAGACTGTAATGGCTTTTGCTTATTTGTAAAAGTTATTTTTGAAAATTTAAAAGAGAACTAAAACTCAGATGTTTAACATGATTTATAAAACTATTATTCATAACAAAGTTATTATAACCAAAGGGAATAATCTAAATCTCAAATCTGACCTTGTATGGAGTACTGTTGCCATATCTGGTGCAGATCTGCTAATTTAGACAAGGTACAAAAACGCATTGCGAACATGGTTGGAACTGCTCTTGCAGCCAACCTTCAACCATTATCACATCGCCGTAATGTTGCTTCTCTTTCTCTTTTCTACAAATACTATAATGGACACTGCTCTAAAAAGCTAGCGTCTCTTGTGCCATCTACTAAAATTCACTCGTGTTACTTGTCATTCAATTAATTAATTAATATTGAAGTGTGATGGAAGTAGCTTTGATGCTAACCAAAAATAATCAAAAACAATAATAGAGGATGTAAAAACCCAGTTATTACCTTATTGCTACTACTTTGATATTTTTACAAAATACTTTGATTATCTGATTTTATGGTGGACACTCCGAAACCAGTATTCCTAAACATTGGTGGTCATTTGAGCCACATTTTTTTAGAAGTTTTAGAAACTGTTTTTAAAAAAAGCAAAAAAAAAAAAAAAAGCAAAAAAAAAAAAGAGAGAGAATGATATCACTCCTTTGTGCTTGCTAGCAAACTGTTTAAATCGCCCAAGGCCATTTGTTATGGGTGATTTTTTCCAAGTTGTAACTGTATGGCATTAAACTTTTGCTAACTTTTGATTGGTGAGTAAATAAAAATAGAAATTAATTTTTCTTCTTTGACAAATTTTGTTATTTAAACTTGCTCATTATTTCATTATTTGAATTTTTCATTTCATCCATATTATATGGCATCCAAAAATTTGAAACCTGTAACTTTTTTTCAAACATGTTGCACAGATAATATTATCATCAAAAACTCAGGATCAAGTGTCAAAACAATACTGATGCAAATGCAAAAGCTTTAAGTTAATAACTATTTGTTATCAATAAGTTTATTTATTAACTAAAATAAATTTATTACCAACAAGCAATTTTATATTATGCTACGGTATTTATATTATGCAAAAAATGTTTTTGTTTGGTAATACTTAAACAACTCTATAGATATTTAGTTGCGATATCTTAATCTTTTAAAAATTGCAGACCTAATATTACAAAAGTTACAAATACATAAAATATACATATTTAATATAAGTTGATAAATATAAAAAGAAAATAAAAAGAATTATATGACGTCAAAAACTCTGTCACGTGAATGCATTAGGCATTTTTTATTCATCATAAGGCCTGCATTCACCAACATAAATTAGATAGAAGATGTTTATTAGAAATAAGGTTGCCATGGAAATTATAAAAAGAACAGTTTATAAAAACAGCAATTACAAGTGTTACACTTTGAAACAAAACACTAAAAGTAAAAATTTTAAAAATATATATTCTAAAAGAGTGTGTTGTCTAGTTCACTTATAATTAGAAAGTTTAACTTTTTTTAAAAAAAAAAATTTTTTTGTTTAATTATTAAATTTACACTAACTTTTTTAAGTGAATAATGTTTACCTTGGTTTTTGGTATATGAGAGTCCTATTTATAAATGATTTTTCACCTTGTATTTTCTTAACCTAAAATTAAAACTGAATGGTTTAAATAAACATCATTTAATATATTAATGTTTATTCTTTCCTAATATATATATATATATATATATATATATATATATATATATATATATATATATATATATATATATATATATATATATATATATATATATATATATATATATATATATATATATATATATATACTATATATATATAAATAAAAATAAACATATATATATAAATACATACACACACATATATTTATGTGTGTATATATACATGTACATATATATATATATATATATATATATATATATATATATATATATATATATATATATACATATATATATATATATATCCAGAGTTGTTAACAAGGCCAAAAATAGCAAGGCCAAGGTCAAGGCCACATGTTCCAAGGCCAAGACCAAAGCAAAAGTTTCAAGACCAAGGCTAAGAATTTCAAGGCCAAGGCTAAAAATTTCAAGACCAAGGTCAAGAACAAAGGTTTCAAGGCCTACGCAAACATTTTTAAAGTCGAAGACTTAAATTTTGGCCTTACATTAAGGTCATTTGTTAACAAAACGGCAGGTAGCAAGTGCTGTGACTATAAAACCACATGTTGTAAAATTATACCAAGATTATGCGCAGAATTTGAAGAAGTAAGAATATAATTATATTTGGAGATAATATGTAAGCCAAAAACGAAAACACATAAAAACAAAAAAATAAAACTTATAATTCTTTATTTTTATGTAATTTTGTGCTTAATGCTAATATTAACATCTTTTAATTAAAAATATGTTGATATCAGTTGTTTGTGTTAACTATATTTTAAAAGCATTAACTATAGCCTAAAAGTAATACTTAATTTAGAAAATATAGAAAAATATAGCCTAAAAGGCATTGTTACATTTAAGAAACATCAAAGCTTCAAGCAATGAAAATATAAATAAATAAAAAAAATGAAATGAAAGTATAAATAAAAAAAACTTAATAATAAATTATAACTTGAATATAATAGAACTATATTAATTCAAAAAAAACCTTTAAAATTCTGTTTTTAATTTTAAGAAAAATTCATGCGTTTAAATTTTTTTTAAACTTTAAAATGTTTTAACTAATAAAAAACGTTAAAACAAATCATGTGGCTTGCTATATGGATGTATTAAATTCCAGTAAACCAATCTTGTCATTAATAGTAGTTTTAAAATGGCTAGCTAAAAATGGCAATTTAAACTGTGACATAAAACACAAAATTAAGTTCTAATGCTTTTAAGTAAACAAAAATAACTCTTGTAAACAAAATCAACTGTAATACAATTTTTAAACAACATGAAAGAAAGCTCTGAAATTATTAGGAAAAGGTGGAAGGCCAAGACCAAAACGTTCAAGACCAAGGCCAAAATGTTCAAGGCCAAGGCCAAGGTCAACAGTTTCAAAGCCAAGACCAAGGCCTTAATTTTTGGTCTTAAGGCAAGGCCAAGACCAAGGATAAGGACTAACAACTCTGCTTATATTGTAGTCGAAAGAAATTTTTATGGTAAAAAAAAAGTCTCTTCCAACAACATTTAAGCAACTTCAACAACTAAACTACATTTTAATGTTGTCTAAAAGTTAAAACCATTAAAATAATACCAAAGTATATTAAGTTTAATCGCTTTTTAAAAAACCACAGTAATAATGACTAAAAAATTTTTTGAATTAATAGTGTTTTTTGTTTTTTTTAATGTTTTTAAAACACTGTTGTTTAATATTTTTAAAACATGCGCAGAGTGTTGCTACATTAACTATCTTATAGCCTGTTGCTACAAGAAAGTGCTGCAGCATAGACTATCTTATAGCCTGCTGCTACAAAGGAATGCTGCTACATTGATTATCTTATAGCCTGCTGCTACAAGGGAATGCTGCTACATTAACTATTTTATAGCCAACAAGGTATCTGAATGACAACAAGAATGCTCAACAAGAATGCCGCTACACCGACTATCTGTTGCAACAAGGAAGTGCCACTACATCGACTGAAGGTCAATGTAGTGGCACTTCCTTGTTGCAGCAGGCTATAAGATAGTTGATGTAGCAGCATTCCATTGTAACAGCAGGCTATAAGATAGTCGATGTAGCAGTATTCCTTTGTAAGATCGATGCTATAAGATAGTTGATGCTATAAGATAATCGTTTTACATTGTTATTATTTTTTTTTACTTTATATAATTATTAGGTCAAGAATTACTTAGTTCAAAATATGTTTAAACTCATTTTTTACCTAAATACATTATTTGTTGGAATTTTCATCAAAAAAATTAAGGAATCTCAACATGTTTTGTGTTTGGAGTTCCGTTAAAATACTTTATGTGTTTAAAGTTGCTTTTGAATATGCTTTAGATTTTTGAAGTTGGAGATACTATTAAAGTCTTGTATAATGTAAATAAATTAAGTTTACAAGAAATATAAAAAAAATAATTAAGTTTAGACAAAAAAATAGTAAAAATTAAAAATCTTCATACATTCTCTGAATCCATCGAATTGTCAAGTAAAGATACAAAATGTTGATTTTCTGAAAGAAAAAAAAATTATAAAAAAAAAAGTTATATAAAAAAAACAGTATATATAACAGTATAGTAAAAAAATAATAATTAAAAAACAGTATATTTATAGTATATCTAATGTATTCTCTATAGAATATCTAATGTATTCTCTATAGAATATCTAATGTATTCTCTATAGTATATCTAATGTATTCTCTATAGAATATCAAATGTATTGTCTATAATATACCTAATGTATTCTCCATAAAATATCTAATGAATTCTTTATAGTATTTTTTTTTTTACTTTTTTAATAATTATAAACTCTTATTGTGTTTATACAAACTATGCGGTAGTGGTGTAGTGGTAAGAGCGATTGCTTTGTAAGCAAGCGGTTCGGAGTTCGACTCCCACCACGTCCCTGGAAGTACCGCGCTCAACTTAATTTCTCCGCGCAGCGGTCTTGCTTGTCAAGGTTGGTGTTTCGGAGTTAAAGAGCTGAGAGAGGGTTGTACCACGATTTACAACATTAAAATTAAAAAAAAAAAAAATAAGTAGCCTCCTCAACTGTAGAAGCCCCCTCGGGCCTTGGGCAGGTGAATAATTAAAAAAAAAAAAAAAAAATAGAGGTAATAAGTATAAAAGATAAAATCAATTAAAAAGAAATAAAAAATATATAACATACTCTAAATAAAACCAAGTAAACAAAAAAGTTGCCCTTTAAACTAAATTATGGGTTTTGTCTATAATTGAACAAGGCTCAATTTATTTTTTTATAAAGTCCCGGACAAAATGTCAGATCAAAACTTGTTTGGGTAGGACAGTGACCGATCAAATTTTTTTAATATAATTTTTACGGTTTTACGGAACCAAGTTATGCAATCGAAGTCTTTGTCATGTTATTAAGTTTATTTAACTTTATAACATTTAGTTATTTTAAATATTTTATCGCAGATTTTTGCTTTTTTTTAATAAAATAGTTCCAATTTAATATTGCATGTTTTTTTTAGATAGACCTGAACTTGCATGCTATAACCATGGAAGTATAAAACAGATGGAAGTTCATTGAGCCGCAAACATCAAAGAAATTTCAAGTCGTTTCGGGAGAATGCTTGTAACTGACAATAAAAAAAAAATAAGTTTCACTGGATAAAAAAACAACAAAATTCACTGAAATGATCTTTATTAAAACATTAAAAAATGAATTATTCTAGGGATATGCTGCAAATTTTTAACCATTAGTAATTGCAATTATTCAGCAAAAGGTTTATTAAAACTTAGTAATTAAATAGAACCACTTGATTTTAAAAGTATATGTTAGTTTAAGCTTCTTTTCTTGCTTCAAGTCATAACACGACATTTGATAAAAAAAACAACTAAAACAATTTTTAAAAAATCAAAAAAAATGTTTTCTAAATAACTAAAGTTTAAAGTTTTATTAGCTGTATATCATAACTCCATTCATTCTTGTAGTACTCCATTTATTTAATATAAAGTTTTTAAAAAAGTTGTTGTTTGCCGTTTTGTTGCGCCATTTTTAATGTTTTTCTTGAATATTATTGGCGAACCTTTATTTTTAAATTATTATAAACGTACCTATTTGTGTCAACGTATGAAGATTAAGCATTTAAGCACAGTCTTGATGTCTTTTTCTTATTGTTTACTAAACAAAAGGTTACAAGCATAGTCCCGAAGAATTTCAATGCAGTTGAACTTCCATCTGTTTTATACTTCCATGCTATAACTGAGAACACTTTTTTTTTTTTTTATTCTTTACAACTTGACGCAAGCTTTTTTGATGCTTTAACTATTTAAATGCAATAAAAAAAACTTTTGTTATGTATATGTAACATTTTACAAAAAACTTTTGTATATGTAACATTATAAATAACTTTCAATCATTGATCTTTTTTAAAGTTTTTATTTTACGCAGAGGTGAAAAAAAAAAACTTTAAATAAAATCAAAACTTTTAAATATAATCAAAAATTATAATTTAAAATAAACGCATTATGTGTAAATTAAATGTTGTAATTAATTTTTTTTTAGTAGGTATGTATTTTTTATAATAAATTTAAATGTTTGAAACTATTTTAAAAATAGTTTCAAAGATTTTAATTTATCATAAAAAGTCTTTCTAAAAAGATTATTATTTTCAAATTACTACAAAGAATTGCTTAAAAGTTCTTGTTTTTTTTAAACTTGACTTTTAATCAAAGAATGGAATTGTTAAAAATTACACTTTTAAAAAGACAACGTCATTTTAAACAATTCGTTCGCCCTTAAACATAAGAAGCTTACAAAAAAATTTTGAAATATTCAAGCAGTTTTTGTATAAAAGCAAAATTAATTTTAAAGTTATTTGTTTTAGCGAGACTTGGTGTCACGATGTTAATATTGAGAATGATTCAAATTATAAGTTACAAAATTACAAAGCAATTCATCAGTTTAGGAACTCTGAAAAGACAGGTGGGGGATTATGTATTTTTATAAACAATTTATTGTCATATGAATGTAAAAAAGAATCATGCTCAACTACAAGCAATTATGAGTCGTTATGCATTGAAATCAAAAATAAAGCCTTGAAAAATATTATTGTGTACGTTATATACAGACCATCTTCTGGAACAATAAAACTATTTGAAGATTACATAGAAAAGATATTTAAAACCGAATCAAGGTCAAATAAAAGCGTGTACCTCATGGGCGATTTTAACTTCAACTTTCTTGAGTATGACACAAATTAAAAAATAAAAAACTTTTTCAATTGTATTTTCCAGAATGGTTACATTCCACTAATTAATAAACCCACTCAAATTACCAATAAAAGCGAAACTGCCATTGATCAAATGATCACTAACGAATTCATAAATACCAAAATAAAAACAGGAATATTTAAATTTGACATTTCTGACCACTTTCTAGCATTTATTGTGTCACAAAAGTGCAATAATATTAGTGCCCAAAAAATTAAAAGAACTATTAGAGTAATAAATGAAACTAATATAAACTATTTTCATAACCTATTATCTTTCATTAATTGGAATCATCTTTTAAAAATTACAAACGTTAATAAAGCATATAATATGTTCCTTAACAAGTTTCAAAAAGTTTATAACAAAGCTTTTCCTGAGACTACCAAATTTGTCAAAGCAAAAACACTATTAAATCCTTGGATAACAAAGGGTATTCTAAAGTCGTCCAATAAAAAAACAACAATTATATTATAAATTTATCAAAAAAAGAACACTTGAAAATGAAACCAAGTATAAAAACTATAAGTGGCTTTTTGAATCAATTTTAAGACGTTCTAAAAAATATTATTATTCTGAACAGTAAGGTAAACACAAAAATGAAATGTAAAAGATCTGGAACATAATTAAAGAAGTAGCGGGAAAAAAAAAACTTGATCAGAATAACCTTCCAATCAATCTTAAATCAAATAAAGAACTTATTACAGACAAATTTTTAATTGCTGAACAATTTCAGTATTTTGTTAATGTAGGTTCTAACTTAGCATCAAAAATAGAAACTACAAAAGTAAAATTTGAATCTTTTTTAAATTTTAATAATACCAATCTAATGGACAATGATGAACTTACAGAAAGAGAACTGTTGGAGGCAATGTTTTTGTTAAAACCTAAAAAAAGTTTAGGATATGATAATATCAGTAGTCGCGTCATTATAAAATCAATAAAATATATAACTATTCCACTATTGCACATTTTTAATTTATCTTTAAAACAAGGCGTTTGTCCTGAAAAACTTAAAATTGCAAAAGTTGTACCAATTTTCAAATCTGGTGACGTTTCAAACGTTGTAAACTATAGACCGATCTCAATTCTTGCTTGTTTCTCAAAAATACTAGAAAGAATTATGTACAATAGACTTTATTCCTTTCTAAATAGTAATAATATTTTTTACAACAAACAATTGGGATTTAAGTCAAGGCATTCCACTGACCATCCCATTATTCACCTTATTTATGACATACTTAAAGCGCTTGATGAAAAAAAATATACTGTAAGAGTTTTCATAGATCTCAGCAAAGCGTTTGACACAGTTGATCATAACATTCTTTTAACTAAACCAAAACATTATGGCATAAAAAACTCAAACATTGATTGGTTTAAAAGTTACTTAACAAATAGAAAACAATATATATCGTATAACGAAGGAAAATCAAAATATATGACTGTCACATGACTGTCACGGTGTTCCTCAATGATCAATACTTGGACCACTACTCTTTCTTGTTTATATAAACGACTTACATAGGTTTTCTTATATTTTAACTTCAATTTTATTGGCCGATGACACAAACTTTTTTTCTCTAATAGTAACATCGACTCCTTATTTGAAACAGTCAATAAGTAACTCACAAATTTAAGGGAATAGTTCAAGTCGAATAAACTATCCTTAAATATAAGTAAAACCAAATACACTCTTTTTCATAGACTCCACGAAAAAAAAATTATTCCATTTAAACTTCCCTATCTTTGTATTGATAATTTTAATATAAAAAGAGAGCTTTTGTGCGCATTCTTAGGAGTATTTCATCACATAAGTACAATAGAAAACAAAATATCAAAAAACATCGGCTGATTATATACAGCTAAAAGGTTTTTAAACCAAAACTGTTTAAAAAACATATACTTTTATTTTATCCACAGCTACTTTAATTATGGGAACATTGCTTGGTACAGCACCAATGCAACCAAAATAAAAAAACTACTCAGTAGACAAAAACATGCTATACAAATTATTTCAAACATAAACAGTTTAACGCCCTCTAAAGGATTATTTAATAAACTAAATATACTCAATGTTTATCAACTAAACATTTATCAGATACTTATTTTTATGTACAAATTTGATAATAAAATGACACCAAATATTTAATAACTTTTTTAACAAAATAAATCATGTTTACTCTACTAGATTTTCAAATCAAAACTACATTCAACCTAAAACCTATTATACGGCCACCAAATTCTGTATTGCAAATAGAGGACAAAAATTATGGAATTCTAAATTTAATAACGACATCAAAACTACTGCTTTTTTTCACAAATTTAAAATAAAACTTAAGCAAAAACTTCTTACTATTGACAATGAATTAAGTTATTTATAAAAAATTTTATTTTTTATTTATTTATTTTTCTTTCTTTCTTTTAACTTTACTTTATCTTCTTTTTTATTACTTCTGGTTTTTATTTTACATATACATTTTTTAATCCTATTAATAATTATTGATTAACAATCAATATAATTACTTTAACAAATTGTTCTTTTTATAACTTTATTTCAAATCAGCTCTTATATTTAATTTTTTTTAGTTTTGTTTATTGTATACCTTGAGGTTTTTCTTTTTTTTTTTGCTGACTTTAGTTGAATTGTGTCATGTTTTTATTTATTTATTAATTTTTTTTTTTAATTTAATTTTTTGGCTTTTGTTAATTAAACTAAAGTGTATTTCAATTTTTAACGTTATTATAAAGTATTTATCTTATAAAACAACTGCTTATAATGTAAAAATACGATATAAACTACAGGGCTTAGTGATAAGACTATTTTTGTCTTCTTTTTGCCCCGGCCATGTAAATATTTATTTATACATTTTGGTATTGTAGCAATATTTAAACAGCAATATATAAACATATTTAAAAAAAAAAAAAAAAATTTTTTTTGGCAACTTTTTAAACTTAAAAATATTATATTTTTTCTTTTCAATAATTTATTTTCACTTTTCAATAATTTAAATAAAATTTGTTTATTTTTTAACAATCAATAGAAGTGATTTGTAAAAGCGTTTTGCGTAACTTTAATAAAACGTATCAAAAGATAAGTTTTAAAGTAATTTATTTCAAACGCAATTAAAAACATAACAAAAAGTAAATTTGACTTGGAGTTTCTTTAATTTTATTTTAAAGCTTTTTATTTATTTTTAAACTCTACTTTTAACTTTTAAATATATACTAAAGTATTTAGTTTGTAGAATTTAATTCCCTTCGGTCAAAATGTCTGATTACTTTGTAAATTGATCGAACAATTTGAGGTTTTAGCCGGACAATGTTCGATGTCTGATCGTTAAATTGAGCCCTGATTGAACATAAAATATTTGTTTAATACTATATAAATTGTCTCAACAACCTTGATAATAATTCAAAGTATACAAGAAAGAAATAATGTAACTAAAAAATGTTTATAAAAAAATATAGGTTATAAAAGAATTTCATATGCTGCAAAAATATTTAAAAAAAAAAGCTTTTTTTTTTGATGTTCAAAAAACAAAGAAAAAAATCAAAAAACTTTATAGCCTACCCTAATCATAAACCCAACTTGTCATACTTTTTGCAACACTGGATACTAATAAAAAATCAATATTAATCACCTGCATTACTTGCTATATCTTTGTGTCTTGGTGTACAATCTTCATCATCTTTAAATAATTTCTCTCTCCACAAACCATGACCCTTTATATAAATTGTATAAATTATTATTGTAATTAAACCTTGATATTTGCTACTGCTTGTTACTTGCTACTGCTTGTTAAAACAAAAACTAATTAAAATTTTGCTAATATTAAAAAAGATGCTGAAACTATGCCAAAATAAATAAAAATAAATTTTTTTACAATATTTCAAATCTTATACTAGGTGGGATAGCAGACTTAGGAAATCAAAGAAAGTCCTGATGGTTTTTTTTTTCTATAACCAACCAAATGATATCAAAATAACTTTAACAAATGTGGCAGCGGTGGAGTGATAGAACACTCACCTCATAAGAGAGAAGTTCCATGTTTGATCTCCACCACACCCCTGGGAGTATTGTGTTTAACTTGATTCTTTGTAACAACCTTGGGGTTGTAACCACAACTAAAGTAGCCTCCTTGATTTTAGTGGCCTTCTCGGCCTTGAAGAGGTGAATTGACATTAAAAAAAAGTCAATTGTGGGGGAATTAAAATAGACTTTAATAAATAGTACACCTTTATTGTTTATTGTATCTTCCACAGGATGTCCAAAAATTTTGGAACTGTTTAAAATAAAGACTGCAACTGTTCCAAAAAAAATTTCCTATTTAATTCTAATCTCAATACTTGCTTTAGATAATCAACATTAGTCCATGTTAAAGCTTAGTACTGCAGGATCTTGATAAATTTCAGTTCTAATTTTTTCTATAGGTTTAAAAAAACAAAAATAGCATCTTATCTATGTCAGACACTAAACTCCCAGGATCATGTCTTAAACTGGGGTACTGGGTTCTAAAGATTTCTTACACATCAGAAAGTAACTTAGATTTTGTCACAACAATGTACCATTTGTTGTGACAAAATCTACTAAATGTATAAAAAATAAATGTATAAAATATTTTTCTTAGAACACATTAAGTACTTACATTAAATTTATGAAATCTAAAATAAATTAACTTGCAGTATAATTTACTAAAACATTGCCATATCAAGATTATCATATAACAAACTAATCTTTAAATTGTCACCAGTTCTTTTTAAATTAAATTTATTGCTTTTTTTTTGCATTCATCATTTTCTTCTCTTTTTTTCATTCTTTTCTTCTAATCAACAGTATTTTGAAGTTGTTCTTCATTTTGAGAACATTAAAGTCTTTTATTTGGCTAATTTTTTTCTTCCAGCGAAACCATTAGTTTTCAAGAAGTTGGGCTCATGATGATTCCAACAATTGTCTTTATTTACAATACTTAGGTGTATGAGAAATTTACAGCTGTCATCAATTACAAGGTCTGAAAGCTGTCTAGTAAGTTTAAAACTAAGATTTTATGATTTAAAATGGAAAAAGACCAAAAACTGATATTTAATGGACATTTTTGAGTAAAAGTAGGCATGCAAAAACAAAACTATAGCTGGAGAAAGATAAATACTATGAAAGATTGTGAAGGCGTTTAGTCAAACTATTTCTAACATCACCATTAAACTCATCCATTTAAAAATAAAAAATATTAAAACCATTAAAATGATTAGAACAAAATATTTAAAACTTTGGATAGAAAGAAAAATAAAAAACAGCAACAATAAAAACAGATTTTTCTATTTCATTGTTATTAATGAAAGAATATACAAGACAAAAGCCATTAATCTTGCTATGACATGGTCCAAGCTAATGAATTTTAAATACTTTAAGCTTTACAGATACAATACAGTAAATGCTCTATATAAGCAACTCTTTTCAATTAATTTCAATAAAAAAGTTTCTTATTGGTAAAAGTTTCTAGAAAAAAAAAGAGTATAAAAATACTTATTGTCTGGAAAATATTTTTACTTATTTTTTTTACTAAACTGTGTAGAATAAAAAAATCCATTTTGCAAAAGAAAACATTTTATTACTATTAATATCATATGAGTGTAGCTATTATTAATATTAAAAAAAAGAAAAAGATTAAACAATCAAACTTTGATAAATCTTTGGTTTAGTACAGCACTTATTGCCAAAATAAACAAAAACAATTACAAATATTTGCTCATGATAGCTTTTTCTCTTATTTTTAGTAACAAAAGAACCTCATTGCAGTCATTTTCTTTTGCCCATTTTATTACCAAATTAAAAGAATTTATAACATCATTGATGTTTTTATCGGAGTCATCCAACTTTTTTTCATTTTCTTCAACAGGAGTAGTTTCACTTTCTACTTCAGGATTTTCTTCAAGGTTAAATGGATAATTTGCCACGATTGTTCCACTTGCCCACTCCATAATTTCAGTATCTGCTAAATTACAATCGTTAGATATCAAATTATACAATCTTGCCAAGGGAATATCGTCTTCTTCTGAAGAGTGATCGGACAGAATGTTGTATTGAATTTCATCACTTGATGAAAAAAGATGTTTAAATGAATTTTGTATAACTGACACAGGAATTTCATTCCATACCTGCACCACTAAATAAACAACATCTTTCAAATTTATATTTTTCAGTGCTGAAACTATCTTCTACACCTAAGGCTGCAAGACATGCAAGTAAATGTTTACAACAACTTTGTTTTAGTGTTTTTATCACATTTTGATCTAGTGGTTGCAATAATGGTGTGTTATTAGGGGAAAAACTTTGAAATTCCGGTTACCAGTAAAATTATTCTCAGACCCATGGCAAGTTGAACTATCTACTAAGAGAAGGGTTTTTATGGGAAGGTTGTTAGATTCCAAGTGTCGAGTTACTAAAGGTATGAATACATCATTATACCAGTCGCTAAAAAGTGTATAAGTATGCCAAGTATTTTTGGATGATTTGTAATATACTGGCAAATCCATATTTTTGAAGCAATGAAGAGATTTCGATTTTTCTATAACCATTAAATCTAATTTAATGGTTATAGAAAAATAACCATTAAAAATAATTGTTACTCTTTTCTTTATTGCTTTTTTTCTAGCAGCAGATTTTTCAAAATTTGTAATGTCACTTTAACTGAGCAAGCTTTTATAGACAAGACCAATTTCGTCGTAACTATGTATATGTTCAGGCAAAAAGCCATTTTGAGCAATATAATTTTTAAATTTATTTATAAATAAATAGTATGCTAGCTCCACATTGCAAAACATATGCTCTTCAAAAACAGACAAAATTGGTTACCATGGCATTTTTTTAAATTTTGTAAACTATCCATCTCTTGCTACGAATGTTTCAGGTTCATTATCTAGTCTATTTACTTCCAGTGCTTTTAATTTTTATCATTTCTTTTGGAAATAAATCGTTTAATTGTTGTTGCTCTAAAAACCAAAAAAACACTACATCATCAATTTTACTATATTTTATTCTCTTCATTTGTTTAATCTTACTCTGATTCATATACGTTTTGGATTCCTCTAAATTTTTTTTATTTTCTTCTACTTATTGTAGATTTAGCAACTTTATATTCGTTACAAATGTCCTTCGTTTTCTTACCATTTTCAATGTCCTTTAAAATGGATCTTCTAACGAAATTGAAAGTCTTTTTTTACTTCTGATTTAAATTTTATGGTTAAATTTAAAGCACAAAAATATTAATTTATTTATTAACAAAAATTAACAGAACTCAAGTAACTATTCTATTTAACAGAAATTCACTTCAATACTCGCAACACAAAACACAAACATATTCCAATTACAGAACTTTTTACAATTTGAGATTATGTTGTTGTGAATAGCTGATTTTACTTCTGAATTAGCCTAAACTTAATTCAAATATATTTAGCTTTAAAAAAAAAAAAGGTTCTACAGAACAGTCAAAGTAAAAAAAGTTGCTTGTGTAGAGGTTGCTTATAAATAATGTTGCTTATTGAGAGGTTGCTTATATAGAGCGCTCACTGTACCAAGATAAAAATTGAAATATTTTACCAGCTAAGTAAAATCATTTTAAGGAATTTTGTACTTCAGAAATATATACTTCCAAAAAACAAAAATTATATACTTTCCGAAAAAAGTATATATCCATATATTGATGATTATTCTAAGAAAACCAATTTTCTCCAAATTTTAATTACAGAAATCTTTGTCATAAAAGTGTTAACCTGTCACGGCATATAACACAGTATTCCCAAACAAACTAAAATTCCAAAAAGTCAAAAAATATGTTTTAGAGCCATTAAGCATAGATGAGTATTTGACTTTATGAAAATCCCGGAAATTTTTTTTCTATGATAATCCCGGAAAATCCCAGAAAATTATTCGATCACATTTAACTGACAAACGGTATTCAGATTATTTAACTTTTTACAAAAAGGAATTTTTAATATTCGAAAAAGTTTGAATGAATTAAAAAGCATAAAAAAAAAAAAAAAAAAAAAAAATTGTTATGAAAATTGATCTCGTGAAAATTTTAATTATAGAAAACATTTGTTTAAATGCAAAAGTTGTCATATGTAAAATTTTTTGGTAAAATTTATTAATTTTTTTTTCTAATTAATATAAAAAAAACTCAAAATTTCTGGAAAAATTTAAAGTGTTTTAAAAATTTTAAGCTTAATCATCTATGATTAAGCTTAAAATTTTAATATTTAAAATCGAATATTTAAATTGATTAAAAATGAGGCCTCTGCAATAGTTTCAGTAATTAAATATAAGTTATTGTTAGGAATTTATATTTAACTACCACTGATTGAAGATTTTTTAAACTTTTAGATTAACATGAGTCAACAATTCAAATTTTAACAATAATTTTTATTTAAAATTTTTAAAAATAAAAATACAATAGTGGGTTTTTTAAACAAATTCGCTTACAACATGGCAACAAGCAACCTTGCGAAGCAAATTTTTGCAAGTTGAAAATAAATAAACATTAAGTTTAAAAAGAAGACTAAAAAGGACTTGCAGAAGACTTAGAGGTAAATTGTGTATCAGAAAAATATGAAGTCAAGTAAGAATTACCAAGCACCAATGTTTTACAGTAAAAACTAGATCAAACTTTTTCGTACATGAAGGAACAATTACAGTAAAAGGATGCATGCTGAATGACTAATAACCCATGATTGATTGAATGATGTGACAACTGAAATTAGCTCGCTTAAGCAGAAACCATGGTAGCCATTTGTAGAAAAAAAAAGAGTTGCAAACTTATGATGATGAGACAGAGGCTCAAACTAAGCAGCTAGAGCAGGTCCAAACAACATTTACAACTCATTTTTGGATCTTGTCTAAAAGAAAGAAGACCTTGTTACTATTATTGTTAGTGATAATAGTATTCCATAGAATGGAGTCAAGAGAAAGAAAATAGCAACTATAATAAAGAGACAATCTAAGCAAAAACAAATGAGCAATGGATTGAATATTCAGCAGCCACTGCAAACCAAAAGCTTAAAAAAAAGAGATCAGATTCAAGATCGACTGACTGTTCTAAGCAATCAAAAGTGACAACTTTTTGTCAAGACAGGAGTATATAGTTGTGTTGTCAGCAAATAGAGCCACTTTAGAGGAATGATTGTCAGAAAGATCATTAATATAGATGAGGAACAACACAGGACCAAAGATAGAACCATATAATACCCCAGAGGTTAATAAGAATGAAAGAGATTGTTGCCTGTCATGGACAACTGTAATATGGCAATTAGAAAGGAATGATTTCAAATGGGGCAAATTAAATAATTGCAAACTGTGACACCTGGAAATGCTTTTGGTCTTTTTTTAGCTTTTTAAATACTGTAAACTCTTGTTTAATGTATTTAAAAATATCACTCGTGATAAAAGTTTTTATCACAAAACTCCATAAGAATTATTCAATAAAAATTAATTATGCATTGATCTTGAAATAATGATATAAAATCTTATTATAAAATTTAATTATTATTATTGTTATTATTACTTTTATAATTTGATTTGAACTTTAATGGTTTAATTCATTTGATAAATCATCAGATAAAACAAGAGAAATAAAGCATACAGTACTATGTAATATTAAAGATGACACAACCGCAAATCACAACAGCCTAAAGAAATTTAGCAGCGATCAAATACTTAAAAAAAAATTCAAAACTGCTTTAAAATCTTATTCTTTATTTTAATCAAGTCAATTAAATACTTTAAACTCTTGGAAATACTCACATCTCTTTAACACACATATTTATATAAAATTAAAGACAAAGTTTAAAAACTAATACAAATTAATATAAATCACTTATAGTTTTAATTTTAATTATAAAATAAAACAAAAAAACTCTTATAACATATTTCAAAATATATCTTTTTATTATTATTTTTATGATCAATTAAATAATTTTAATAAATTATTTTTCAAAGTTTCCACCCTAAAAAAATTGGATTTTCAGGTTTCGTACAATGTGCAAATTCCTTAAGTATTAATTTTTATCAGTTGATTTTTTTATCTTTTATTAGAGCAGTGTTCAGGGTTTTAATGTGAATGATAAAACTGAGAATTTGAAGCCTCGTCATATGAGCTGCTTATTTTGAAAGTAGCATAAGTCAACTTTTCAAAAAAATCAAATTATTGATAACAATAACTACACAAAATTATTTCTACTAATAAAAATTTAAGTATCCTGAGACAACAATTACAAGAAAATCCTGAAAATTTGCTACAATGTTTTTAAACATGTTAAAACACGAACCTTTAGAAATCTCTGTCTAAAAATAAAGTGACTTATGCCACTTTCAAAATAAACAGCTCATATAATGCACCATAGAACCTTTCAATTAAAATATAATAAAGTTTTATATGCAGAAAAATTGATTTTTTATTAATAAATTTTATCCAAAAAATAAAAAAATAAAAAAAAGGAAATAAGAGTGGTTGAAATTTATGTTTTTTAAAAACTGCTCAAAACCTAATCAAGACTCTGCAAAACTTCTAAAAATGTAATCAAGATTCCTGCTTATAAAACTGCTGAAAAAATTCCTACTTATAGAATTTATTTTTTGGTAGGTTTATTTTTAAAAAATTGAAAATGTTTTAACAAGTTCTAAAATACCTTAATAACAATTAGTGTTTTATAAAACCAAACTAATGGTAATAAATACCAAAAACAATAGTCCAGATTTGGAAAAGTTCATCTACACAATGTATATTAATAAACAAGCAATATATATATATATTTTTAAACACTGCAGCATTTTATGTTTAGTTTTATTCTACAATTGATTTTTACTACATATCTTAGGCCAGTAACTATACTAACATTGATACTATCGTTAAAACTATTTTTAAAATTAACTTTTAAAATATTTAATCAAAAAAAAAAAAAAAAAAAATACATTAAAAAAAATATATACTATATATACTCAAAAATATATTAAAAATAAAAAATATAATAAAAAATATTGCCTAAAAAATAAAAAATAATAAAAACAAAAGATGAAGAACCCTGTAGAAAAATAAAATACTTTACAAATTTAAAGAAAAAAAAGCTAGTAACTAAGGTAGTCAACTTCAGCTATTGTAAAATATAAGTTTGGAAAATTATATTTCTTTCTATTATAATAAAAAAAACTTAACAAACCTTTAAAGCAAATCTGTGGAAAAATAAACCCAATAAGAGCAAAAGATCGCACACTGAGTTTGAATTCCTTTCAATTCCTATAATACGTGCTGAACAAAGAGGATTATTTGCTAGTGGATTGCAACTGTTAAATGACGCATTTGGAAATTGAAACTGGAAGATGTATTTGACAACAATAACTAACTGAACATAAGTAATTACTACAATCCAAAACCGCTTACTAGGGCGAGGGATTGAAAGCATTCCCCAAAGGAACACAAAAAAAGGAAGTGGCATTGACAAAACTGATGCATAACACATATGGTTAACAATCATCAAGGTATAACATAGCAAATTAGAATTTGCTAATAAAGCATAATAAAATGACATCATAAAACCATAATTATGAGAATCATCAATATGCTCTGAAAACTTATTATTTTCTAAAAGTGACCAAGTATCATTTTCATTTTGCAAACTGCTGGATGACTCTTCAGTTACCTATATAAATAGTCATTAATAACAACAAAGCAACAACAATATTTTCATTAAATATAACAATTTAGTTTAATAACTAACAAATTAATAGTTTAATAAAATAACTAATAAATACTTTGATATTGTAACTATTTGTTTTAAGAACATAAAAAAGATATATAAAAATGTAACATTTACTGATTGTTGAATGGCATTTTTCTCCTCGTTAAGAGTATTTTTAGAAGAGATTGTAGAAGAATGTTTGTTCATTTCTAAAGTTAATTGTGCTGCAATACTTCTATAATCATAAGAGGAGTCATCCATTATTTTTTTTACCGATTTCATGCCAGTCTTAAAAACTTCTTTTATATATGTAAAGCCATTAACAAATGACTTTTTAAAGGAAGAAGTTTCTTCTTTAGGACTACCATTAACAATATTTGATTCATTTGGTTCTTCATGTACAGATATGGATTCAACTAAAAAAAAATTAATATAAAAAAATAAATAAAATAAGAATAAAAGTGGTGTGAAACAATAAAGTGAATGAAGAATGAACACTCATGAACAATATATTTATAGGTGATAATTATAATTCTATTTAAAGGTGTACACTAAAAAAACAAAGTTTATGAAGAATGTAGACTTATGAATATTTACATTTAAAGATGTAAACTATAACAATAAAGTGTAGGAAGAATGTACACCTATGAACAAGTATATTAATTTATTTATTATTTAGTATTTAAGGGATTCTATCTGTTGACTCCCTTTGCACCCTTTCTTCATCTATTAGGCTGGTGTAGATTTATTTATAAAACATTGTTTCCAGTTTAGGATGTAAAATGCTGGATATTCTTGACTAATTGCATGTGTTTTGCTTGTGTCTCTGTTTTTATGACTAGGCAACTCATTCTATTATCTCCTAATAAGGGTACCTAAAATTTAGTGTCATTGTTATGAGGCTAGCTGGTAGTCAGGTTTCCCAAACTCTGTGGTTGCTCTTAGAGAGGCTGATTCCTTTAACTTATGTAAATTAGTGTGCATTGTCAAGGCCACATTTGGAAGCGCATTTGTTACAGCTAAGGGTTTATTAATAGTAAAGAAGATTTCACTTGGACTATTTATCTTCTACATCTTGTGGTCAGGGCAACATACCTGTTATAGTCTTGCAGAAATGTTCTTCAGAACTGTCATTTAAACTTTCAAAACTATTTAACAAGTGCTTATCAGAATCTTATTTTCCAGCCTGCTGAAAAGCAGCATCTGTTATCCCAAAATGTTATTTCAAAAATTCTGGAGAGCGATCTGACTTGTTTAACTACCATCCATACCATCATTAGTCATCTATCATAAGTTTTTGAGTCTCTCTCAACTCTTTAAATTCAACGCATGAATCTTTATGAATAAAGGCTGAAAAAAGAAATTGTGAAAAAAAAAAATCGTGGAGAAACGTGAAGAAAAAAGTTTGTTCAATTGAAACTTCAGTTACTTCCTCACATTTTCCAGCTTTTTTTTTCCTATTTCTCATTGACATTTTTGATTATAAAAAATATTACTTTTAAATTTTAAATAAATCAACATATATAGGCTTAACATGAAATTTATTTTCTATTACAGTCCTAAAAATCATGTTAAAAATCTTTTCTAAAATAATTTGATATATATAAAAATATATATAAAATAAATTTAAAGTATAAAATTATAATAACTTTCAATAACTAAACAAAAAAAATTTAACAGATACAAAATAAAAATAAAACCCAAATTTACCCAATTAAACCCAAAACTACCAAAAAAAACCCATTGGGCCTGGTTTTTTTAAAAAAATCAGGTTTTTGCCAACCCTGCTTGGAGAGGGCATTTGAGCTTGAAATAGATCTAACTTCTGCTGCAGCATTGGGCTCTCAGTGGCTTATGAACTTTAACTCAGATAAATTTAATTTTTTCAGCTAACCATTATTGCAAAAATCTAGCTCTTCCTATATTTATGAATGGTAATTTACTCGAAGAGTCATCTACCTTACATCTTCTAGGATTAACTCTTACACCTGATTTTTTTGGAAATCATAAATCAAGTCCAATGCAAATTAGGATCTGCTAAGGTTTCATCTCTCTATTGTTCTTCAAATCCATCCTTGTCTGGAATACTGATACCGGATCTTTGAATAATGCCCTTTCTCTTTTAGATAAGTTGCAAAAAAATCTTTTAAACATAGTTGGACCTGCTCTTGCTGCCAACCTTTAACAATTGCCACATTGTCGTAGTGTAAATAATAACAAAAAAATGTACCCCATTAAATAAGTATATTTAAAGGTGTACACTGTAACAAAAAGGTGTATGAGTATCTACACCTATAAATAAGTTTATTTAAAGGTGTACACTATAACATAAAACCGTATTTTCTCCTAAAGTATATAAACCTGAACCTCAAAAGAACCATAACTTTATAGGCCTGGGTCAAGAGAGTCTGAAGTTTCTATTTTATCCAGGAGTCCGGAGACTCAGGAGCCCATAAAAATTTTGGGACTCAGTTATTAATGTGCTTCAAAAGAATATATTCTTGTCACAAAGCACTGCGAAAGATCATTTTACCGCAATGAAACCATTTTATGTAATAACATAGTTATTACATAAAATGATTTTAACTTGAGAGAACCCAAGCTATGTGCATGCCAAAAAAAATGTGCATAATTTAACAAAATGCCGAATACTTATTTTAATAATGAAAAATTAAAAAGAAAAGTGTTATGATTTAGATACAGAAAACTATTAAATTTAACTAACAAATTAATGCAATAAAAAAATGGTGTTAATCAACAGAACAAAAGCCATGAATTAAACAAAACAAGTAAATATCAAACTTGTCTGTAATTATGTGCTGTAAAGTCAAACTAACAAGCTTGAGAATCGTTAGAAAACGTACTACGAAGAAAACGTACGTACTAACAAGGTCAAAAGGAAGCCAAAAAATGATTATAAAAATACCTCAATGAATGAATAAAAAATCTTTTGTGCAACAATTCCTTTTAGGAAAGGAATTACTACAAATTTGACATATTAAAAAGAATAACAGGAAACATCACAAAATTTTGTTTTAACAACATGATTGGTTTATAACTAGTTATGATAAAAATTTTCTTAACAATGTTTACATGGGTTTTTATACAAGTAATAAATTTTGTGAAGAACATATAACAGAAAGCAAATGATTATTACATGTTCAGAAATTCAACAACAATACTCTTTCCTTATATTCATATTTGCTTTTTAATCGCTTGCAACAATCTTGACCAATAATGGCCACTAAATATGCATCAGAAATGGTCTACAGATATTTTCATTGTACAAATAAAATTTTGAATGGATTTAAAGCAGTATACTTCAAATGTCTTGTACACAAAAAAAGTAAAAGTAACGAGTTGTGCGATTTAATCTGTTTACCCTAAAGGGGTAAGCAGATTCTATCTGTTGACCAGCCTCACACCCCTTTTTCATCAATTAGGCTGGTGCGGATATAATTTTAATACATTGTTTCCAATTTAGGATGTTGAACTCTGGGCCTTCTTGACTCGATGCATGGGTTTTGCTTGTGTCTCTGTTTTTATGACTAGGTAACTCATTCTATTATCTCCTATTGAGGGTACAGCTCTAAAACTCAGTTTTATGGCCGAGGCCGACTGGTAGACAGGTTTCCCAAACTCTGTGATAGCTCTCAGAGAGGCTGATTCCATCAACAGCTGAAAAATATCAAAGTATTAACAGTGCCATGTTGCGCATTCATTTTTAAATTTGTTCTTTAACAAATTTAAAAATGAATAAAGTACCAAAAACAATAAAACACAAAAACCATTGTCATCACTAAGTTCTCTAAACCTATCATTCACTAATATTAGTGGGCTTTGAAGTAACTTTTCTTCTGTTGAGTCTTATCTCTTGCAAAGTTCACCAGACCTACTTGCTCTTTATGATACTAATTTGAATTCAGCTGTTTCATCTTGTGATCTTAGTGTTGATGGTTCCTAGCAGTAATAAACAGACATAAACAGACGTCTGTTTATTACTTCTAGGAACCATAGGTTTTTGAATCTTTAATTAACAAACACTTAATCTCTCATCTTGAATCAAATAACTTTCTGATCATCAATATGGACTTCGATCTTCTTGTTCTACGGCTCATTTGCTAACAATAATAACTGATAGGTTTTATCGTGCATTAGATAAAGGTGGAGAAGTTTAGGCCATCGCTCTTGACATTTTTAAAGCGCTTGATAAAGTTTGCCGGTCTCTTCCATAAGCTTTCTTCTTACGGTGTATCTGGAAACATCTTCAAGATTATTGAATCCTTCCTTTCAAATCGTAGTATAAAAGTTATCCTTGATGGATAGCACTCTTCTTCTTATTCTGTAACCTCAGGGGTTCCTCAAGGTTCAATCCTTGGCCCTATACTCTTTTTGATTTACATTAACAATCTTCCAGATATTCTCACATCTAAGATGGCATTGTTTGCTGATGATACTACCATTTATTCTTGTCATGATAAGAAGCAAACTCTCTCTGATTGGAGGGGACATTTGAGCTTGAAAAGGATCTCACTTCTATTACAGCATGGGGCTCACAGTGGCTGGTGAACTTTAATTCAGATAAAACTCAATTTTTTTCAGCCAATCTTTATCGCAATAATTTAGACCTTCCTACATTTATGAACAGTAATGCACTTGATGAGTCATCTACCTTTCATCTTCTAGGATAAACTCTTACTTCTGATCTTTCTTGGAAACCATATATCGAATCCGTTGCAAAATTAGCATCTGCTAAAGTTAATCTCTTTATCGAGCTCGACAGTTTTTTACTCTGGATTCTATTCTCTATCTCTATAAATCTCAAATCCGGCCTTGTATGGAATACAGTTGCCATATCTGGGGCGGAACTTATAATGATGCCCGATTCTCTTTTATACAAGGTGCAAAAACGCATTGTAAACATAGTTGGACCTGCTCTTGCAGCCAACTTTCAACCATTATCACATCGTCGTAATGTTGCTTCTTATCTTTTCTACAAATACTATAATGGGCACTGCTCTAAAGAGCTAGCATCTCTTGTGCCATCTATTAAAATTCATTCTCGTGTTATTTGTCATTCAGTTAAGTCTCATACTTTTTCTGTGACTGTTTCGAAGTGTATCCAAAAACTTTATTCCTCTAGTTTTTTTCCTTGTACATCAGTTCTTTGGAATTCGCTTCCTTCATCTTGCATTCCTGATTCATATAATTTGTAATCTATTAAGTTGTCTGTCAATCATTATCTTGCTTTACAATCTTCGTCTTTTCTCTTCCAGTAACTTCCAACTCTAATTAGTGGTTGCTTGCAGCCTTGTTGGAAACAAAGATGTTAAAAAAAAAAGAAAAAAAGAAAAAAAATATGTATATACTTTTATTTATATAAAACCACAATATAAAAAAATATGTATATACTTCT